GTACCCCAATGTTTGCCGCCCCATTTTTGAAAGAATAAGGCATTGAATTCTGAAATGAACTTGAACCATTCCTAGACATTATCTGACTAGAGCGTTCACAAGTCATCCTCATGGTATAATGTAATTTATTATTTTCATTGCGATTGATCACCAATCAAATTAGCTCTAACTGATTGAGTGTTAAATACATAACATCTCCTTTCCCCAAGAGGGCTATACTTACATGGTATTTACCCTATTCGAATTCTTTTGGTCATCTGGACCTTCAGAAAGGAATTTGAATTGACGTATCTTAGCGTTTTCTCAAACAAATCCTGAGAGTAATTTCGCAGACTGTTCCGTGTCGTTATGCCACTTTGTACAATGAATTGATAATTCTGATAAAAAGAAGGTACAGGAACACTAAAAATCAACCAATGATTATCTTATGTATACTTTGTAACTCTGAGATATTATTCTTTCTCTCATTGATAATATTTGCATAATGATGGCTGTATACAGTGTGTCCCACTTACCATGCTCACCATGGGTATCTATTTAACGGTGAGAGATACGAGGTCGGTTAAATGACACCAAATGTGGAGTTTGTCAAGGCCAACTATGATGTGAAAAAATACTTTGATAAAATCTATTCGTTTTTGTTTTATACGCAAAGAACAGATTTTGATCATTTTCATGTTTCCTCCGTAACTTCTTTATTTATGAAAATATTCAAATAGGAATTTCACATCCTCATTGCAGCTTTTTGAAGTGATTTCGAAAAAAATATGAAATTTATACCAACTCTTCTAGAATTTGAGATATCAGCAGCAACTTTAGTTTTTCAAATGTATTGTCACCGAAATTATGAACACCTGCCAAATTTCAAGTTAATCGGAGTTATGGAATTTTTGTTGAAATTGAAAAAAATGGCTCTTCCAGGATGGCGGACAAGATTTGGTCCGATTCCATTCAAAATTGGTAGGAGATCATGATTTTTTTGTTAAAATTTATAAATTCATGATGGCGACTTCCAAATAATTTTTTGTTTTTGTATAAATGGCGATAACTCCGTTGTTATCAACACAAAACTATTACTGCGACATATCATCTGTAAGAGAAAAAAAAGTTATTTGTAACTAGGTCATAGTAAGCTATGACCTACATTTGAAAAACTAAAGTTGGTGCTGATATCTCGAATTCTAGAAGAGTTGGTATAAATTCCATATTTTTTTCGAAATCACTTCGAAAAGATGCCAAGAGAATGTGAAATTCCTATTTGAATATTTTCATAAATAAAGAAGTTACGGAGGAAACATGAAAATGATCAAAATCTGTTCTTTGCATATAAAACAAAAACGAATAGATTTTATCAAAATATTTTTTCACATCATAGTTGGCCTTGACAAACTCCACATTTGGTGTCATTTAACCGACCTCGTATCTCTCATCGTTTGAAAGATACGGTAAGTGGGACACACTGTATGTCTAACTATTTTGAACAAAACCTGAGAAACTCTATATGTCATTTCAATTAGTAGATGTGAGCATTTTTCTAGGTGCGTCAAATTAACATGCTAAATACATATTCTGCACTATATTTATGCTAAATTCACAAAAGTGACTAATATTTTGTTTGAACAAGTTCATTCCATATATATTATACAGTTTCACAATGTCAGAATAATTGTTATGTAATTATCTCAACATAATAGCTAATCTAGCAAACATAATTTTAAATATGTTTTTATATATATGAATACATCAGAATCACCCTCATTCGAGGAAGAGAATAGAATAAATGTAATTGATATTCTGCTAATGACAATCCTAACACTTCATTTCTCAATAATAATCATGGTAATCTATGCATCAGATCTGACATTTTTTCTCAATCCATGATAACAATTCAAATTATAATCCCTAATCGGTAGAGTGATGTTTTTACTATAGTTTCTCAGCAAGTTACGATACAACAGGTTGAATTTCATTCTATTCGAAAACATCGAGTGGATTCATGTTGCACCCCTTCGAAGGGTTTAAAAAATGACACTCACAAAAAAATGAATTTTTCCGGAATATTTTATCCTGACTTCTAGCGAATTCATTTCAGACGAAGTCTTCACCTTGTAAAACAGTGAATTACGAATATAACGTGAGTACTGAGTATCCATGTCATTGAAAAAAGTTCGGAATACTCAAATCATCTTAAAATTAAAGGCATTTGATCAATATATTTTGAGTTATTTTGGTCAAAGGTTGTCATGATATAAAAAATCATTGTTACATATTTTGAAAAGAGTTAGGAAAACTGGTATATTATTATGATATTGTCCTCATGGATAGTTGAAATGCAAAGTGTCATATGGGCATGGAAGTATTTATGATAAAAATGACTACAAACAATAGTTGGTAGGCCTCTGTCAATACCTAATGAAGAAAGTATCTTACTATTTCACTAAGTTATCAAATGAACCAATCAAGAGCCCTAGTGAAGTTTTGATTATCGATAATATAGAACTCGACTCTTGATTCTGATTGGCCAGACAAGTGCAGTGTTTTCGATGTGTTTGTAACATTTAAACGTCAAATATAAGTACAAACGCTGGGTACGCATTCAGAAATGTGCAGACTACATCATACTCAGTAATCAGAATCAAGAAAATTGTAGATGTGAGAAATGATACACGAAGAAAAATTTAATTGAATGAAGCAAATAAAAGTGTCATATATGCACGACAAAATATAATCTTGAAATGAGTAAATCTATATCTTGTTTCAGAGCAAATTTGAAGTTTGATTTGAGTAAATATGTCTTGAAGGAACTCTGGATCTTATTCAATCAAGCACATCCATAAATTGTTCATAAAGAGATATTGAATTGACTCAAACAATCATTTTGTTTGATTTAAAATAACAAGATATTGACTCAATCAAATACTTAGTTGATTCAATGAAATATTTGGTTGATACAAAGAAATATTTGGTTGATTCAATGGATTATTTGGTTGATTCAATGAAATATTTGGTTAATTCAATGAAATATTCGGTGAACTCAATGAAATATTTTGTTGATTTCATGAAATATTTCAAAGAAATTGTATTTTTATTCGACAAATTGTTTTGTTGAATCAAATTCAGTATTAATTCAGGAGTTTTCTGGAATTTCACATCAAAAGAAAAAACGAAACTAGGAAACTAGTAAACTTTGAGCATAGATTTCCAATCTTTACTTCCCTTCAGCTGATGCCAAACTATTTCGGATTGCCAATCATCCTAAGTTCGATTTATTCAGCTGATATTCCAAGGAAGAATCCGGCCTCACCTATATATAATGGATTCGAGGCATGCATAGACGAGGCGAAATGATCGCCATCTAGAGGCGAAAATGTAACTCGATGTAGAAGGAACAAAATATTTAATTGATATTACATATTCCGTTGGTCTATTCAAGCAAATGATCCGTTCGAAAAGAGTTCATTGCTACATCGGAATGAGAAAACTTGTATGTTGTTTCAAAGATATATCCTCATCAAAATGATAATTATTTCATCAAATCAACAAAATGTTCATAGTTGAATCAACATCGACATTATTTTGGATCGACATAATTTGTTCTTGAGAAAATCATACATTGTGTTGATGGAATTGATATTATACTGTTGATTCAATCAGACTACATTCTTGATTTGAACAAGCTGCTTCCATGAAATAATCATGTATCTGGTTGGTTCAACAAGAAATTGCTCAGTCCAACAAAAATAATTCAAGCACAAATAATTGGTTGATGCAACCAATCCTTCTTTTCCGTGTAGCATTCATGATATAACAATTATTGCAAGTACAAGATGGTGTTCAAATAATCAAGATCGATCACTTGTGGTATTACTATTGATAATTCCTTGAATATTATTATCGATAGGAGCCTCTGTCCCAGTGTCATATCTATATTATACATGTATATTGTATAGGTTACGTCTTAAAACTCAATTAGCATTTTCTTCGAACGAAAACAAACAATACCATCAGCAAATCTATTCACGATATCGTAACAGCAGAAGGACCTTCTTCTCATGCATGATGGGATTTATTAATGATCGAATTACTTACAATAATAGAAATTTATTGTTATGCGTTGTGCTTCTGTTCATCTTGTTTTTTACGGGTGACCTAGGAGCAGAAATGACTAATACAAGTTTCCCTGTGTACATAATAATAATTGCTGCGATATAACATTTTTATGATTCATGAATGTGAACCTTCACAGGTTCCTTCGTTTAATTGAACGTTTATTTAACTATCTCAAGGATAATCATTATTTTTATCGGATGTGTCTCAGAAGTAGTGCGCAATAAGTGAACAGTTTCCATGATAGTCAAACATAATGCCATTGAAAATAAATAAACAAACGAATCTGTTCTGAATATTTAATACAAGTATCGCATATTCAATGAAGAACATTAAAAACCGAAAACCTATATAGCGTTTACGGTACCATGTGTCTGTTAATCATTCGGTGAACATATTCGAATAATCAAAAGCCTATAATTTGTATCGTTACTATAGCAACTTAACAAATCAAATCTCTGCAAATTTTGTCCTCCTTGGAATAATGAGTATGAAATTACACTGGATTTTTTTTTGACATTTATAATAGGTGAGATGACATTCACATTAAATTTGACTTCAGATTATGTCGAATTCATTCTATAAGTTGATGAGTTCCTAGTCAGGAAATATATTTTCACCAACTTGAGCTAAATGAATTCTTGAAAAACTGAGAGTTTGAGCATCTTTAGATTATTTTTTCATTATATCATTTGACTAAGTTCAATTACATTCTATTTCTATCTATATCTAATACCTCATATTACGTGTTTAGCCCCAGGTTGTTCGCACATGAAACCGTGAGCTGAAATCTTAAATTTTCCCGTGTATAATGATGGTAGGCTTTATAGCTAGTGGTGAAAAAATATATTTCTACCAAATCAAGTAGAATTAGTTTGTGAAAAACTTAGGCCATGCAAAACACTTACAGACAGGTTTCGAGCTCTTTGACTCTCATCAGTGCAGGGCAGTCTCCAGCCAGCAGTCTTAAGACCGCCGACTAAGCGTAGCCTAGCAAAACAAAACATTGTAACATGTAAACATGTACTATTCTTCCTGAAATTTGGTGACCTATAAGCATTAAGTATTCAGATATAGTCTATTCTAGGGTTCATAGACGTTCCTTTTATGAACCAGACATCGCACTCGACAAGAGATCTTATGTTAATGATGATCCCTTAATTAACCAATTGAAAATTGAGTGGATCCATCCCACACAGAATTCTAATAATGAATTTTTTTACATTACCATCAAGAATATCATTAATTATCGTTGGGGAATATCATTACTAAACATCGTGCGTAATTTTCAGATAATCTGCCTATGTGCCCTCACAGGACTAGCTAGTGGCGGAGGATACGGACTACTCAATACCGGATCTACTCAAAGCTACGGTAGCTACGACGGCTACGGCACAGGTTACGCTGGTGGCTACGGTGGCTACAAGCCAGGTTACACAGGATACGGGGGATACAGACCGGGACACGCTGGATCAGGCTACGCAGGCTCAGGCTACGGAGGTTACTCAGGCTACAGACCAGGCTACTCGGGATACAGACCGGGATACAGCGGTTATAGACCAGGAGGTGGTTACAGACCGGGAGGTGGTTATTCGGGAGGGGGATATAGTCCAGGAATTGGAGGATACGGAGGTTACGATGCATATGACCTAGGATCGAGTGGTTACGACGGCTACAGTGGCTACGGAGGTTACAGTGGACTTGGAGGACATGGAGGGTACAGTGGACTTGGAGGGTACAGTGGACTTGGAGGAGGATATGGTGGAATTGGTGGTTACGGCTCTAGTGGAGGAACGAATTTTCTAGGAGGGGGATACAGGCCTTATAGTGGATCGCAGTCGACTGGTTATTATCGAAAATGATTTCTAAATAGGCTTATACTTTTGGCTTGTATATATGGGTGATTGTATAAATAGTGAGTAACTCCATGTCCCTGGTCTATAAAATCGATTGTACGTGTAATTAGTGTTTCTGAAATATGTTCTGTCAACTATTCAAACATATAATTGATGGTCATATATTTACAATAATAAAAAAAAATACGCATTACATGTTTTCTGTAAAATAACTGACTTTCTGTCATTCCCGTGGCTGTCCCTACCGCAACAACAAAACTTAACGTAATAATAATACTGCTAAAATCTTGAAAGAAATGAGCACAATATTTTTCCCCAATTGTAAGATACTCATATTTTATGGGAACACTAATTAAATATGGATTGCTTAAAGCACACTCAAATCAAAAAATTTTAAAAACTGTCCCTCAAAAATCTCGTCATTCCCGTGCCGGTCATTTTACCGCCATTTTGTTGGAATTTGACCTTGGTGTATAACAAATACAACAACACCAGCATTTGGGCTGAAATCTGCAGTTGCCTACGAACCGTCATCAAGTACGCATATGCTGTCTTTAAGATTGTGTGATACTATTTGCTGTTCTCAAACAAGGCTGTAACCTGTTGGGCCGTCATTACCATGGTGAGTGAAAAATATTTCAAGATATATTATTTTTCTGAACAAATAACTTTAAAATGAACTAAAACACGTGTCCTGTTACACTATGCAAGATTTGAGTTCAAATTATTTGTTATCACATGTTTTTTAAATGAATGTTGGCCAAAATGTCATTCCCGTGTCGTCATTCCCGTGCAATTTTCTTGACACGGGAATGATAAGTTTGACACGAAAATGACGAGAATCTAAAAAATGTAAATTGACATTAATTTATTTGGTTTAGAGCAAACGGAAAGGTGTAAAGAAATCGAGGGAAGAAATTTTAAGAGAAAAAAGAGAGCGTGAGCGGGAAAGACGTAGAAAAATACGGGAAGATCCAGTTAAAAAGGAGGAACAAAAAGAAAAAGAGAGGCAAAAATATATGAAACAGAAACAAGATAAAATTAAGAAAACTGTTGATGATATGACCCCCAGAGAACTACGTCAGATACGAAAGAAATGGAAGGAAAATTCAAAGAACTACCGTTTAAAGAAGAAGCGAGCAGAAATGGAAAGGTCTTTATTGGAATTAAATACCCCCCCAGTTTCTTCTGATGAAGAAAATCGCCCGGCAAACGTAGATGTGTCTATTCAGCGACAGGTTGGCAGAAAAATAGCAAACAGGAACAAAGTTAAACGATATAGAGACAGAAAAAATGCAGAGCGTAAGATGCAGGATTTGAAAAGGAAGAGTGAATCATACAAGAAGAAATACTACAGACTTTTAGAGAAGACCAAACAGGAAAAAAATCATAAGACTATTGATACAGACTTGACTCCGCTAACAAAAGTAAACATGTTACTTGATGCATCCCAGATTGAATCTTCAAAAGTTGAAGAAGTAAAGAAAAGTTTGATATTTGGAGAAGTAGTACAGCAACAGTTAGTAAATACTTACCAAGAATTAAAGAGCGATCAAAAGAAACAAATCTTCAAAAAAATTTTGGATGGCAAAGTAATAAAAAAATACAAATTGCGAACCAAACTTTCGACAGTCATGAAATTTAGAAAATCATCAAATTTTGACAACAAGGATATATCTAGTTTTGAGAGAAAAAAAGGCAAACATACTCAAAGAACTGAAATTATTAAACAAAAGATTAAAGACTTTTTAGAACAAGAGGATAATAGTAGAGTATGCCCTGGCAAAAAAGAATTTGTGAAAAAAAATAAAGTAAAGAAACAAAAGCGTTTTCTATCAAACACGTTGAAAAATCTATACCAAAAATTTCTTCATGCTTATCCAAACTTAAAAATGAGTTACAAATTTTTTTGTCTTGCTCGACCTTTCTATATTAAGCCGATGAGAGTTTCTGATAGAGACACGTGCAAATGTATCACCCATGCCAATATGGAATTGATTATCCAAAGTCTGTACGTAAATAATGTTGTTTTTGGGAAAACTCCCAATGACATGGTTAAAGATATATGTTGCAGCTCCTATGCTCCAGACTGCCTTTTACGCAAATGCAAGAATTGTGAAAATGCCAAACCTCATTTTAAAGAGTACAATGAAAACGATATTATACAATATTTTCAATGGATTTACTTGAAACAAAACTATTTCAACAAGAAAACACAAACAGTAAAACAAACCAGAAAAATCGCAAAGCAACCCAAAGAAGTCAAAGCATCTGAATTGGTAACTATTTTCATGAAAAATCTACCAATATTTTTGAGTCATGAAGGCAGAATTTCACATCAGCATCAGTCCATCTCCGAATTGAAAAAAGTGCTGAAAGCTAACGAAATCATAATACACTGTGATTTCAGTGAAAACTATTCTTTGAAATACGCAGAAGAAATACAGTCGTTTCATTTCGGAGGTGCAAGACAGCAAATTTCATTGCACACTGTTGTAGTTTACAGCAAAGATGGATCGAACACTGTTACCAAAAGTTACTGCACTCTGTCAGAATCCCTACATCATGGACCAGCGGCTATTTGGGCCCACCTTCAACCTATCCTGAAAGAATATACTGAAAATGGAATCGACATAATCCACTTTTTAAGCGATAGTCCCGCAACCCAATATAGAAACAAACAGATGTTCTCGTTCATTACTAGTCACTTCATGGAGCATTTTCCAGAAGTTAAAAATGTATCATGGAATTACCACGAGGCAGGCCACGGCAAGGGAGCTCCTGACGGGATTGGTGGCGTTTGTAAGAGAACAGCAGATCGAATTGTAGCCCAAGGAAAGGACATTTCTAATTTTGAATCTCTTGTTAATATTTTGGGAGAATGCTGTCCTGGTATAGTTTTTCATGTAATCAATTCTAAAGATATAGACACTTTTGCATCTATTATCGATAAACAAAGCCTGTTAGCTTTTAAAGGCACTCTAAAAGTTCATCAGGTTATACCAGTGAAGAAAAAGCTTTGGTTAAGAAGTCTTTCATGCTTCACATGTAGAGATTTTTGTAACCACTTCCATCTAGGCTCCCTCGTTTACAAAGATGTATCCTCTTCGGCAGAGTCTGATGAAGACTTTGATGAAGATTTACCTCTTAGTGATTTATTTAAAAATAAATCTGCAGAGTCTGATGAAGACTCTGATGAAGATTTACCCCTTAGTGATTTATTCAAAAATAAACCAAAAATAAAATTTAGTGATGTTTACAGCGACGACGAAGCACCAACGTGCTCTTATCCCAGCTCCAGAGTGAAAACTGGAGATTATGTATTAATATCCCTTCAAAGTGCAAACAAAAAACTTGTAGACTATTATAGATATGTCGCTGTGTGTCAATCAGATTATGAAGATGGTGAAATCAAAGTTGCTTTTTTGAAACTATCTGATTGTGCAAATGGAGATACATTTAAGCTTGGTGAAGAAAATGATGTATCTTATGTTCAAGAAGAACAGATACTTGAAGTTCTTCCACAGCCAAAATTAGTAATGAAGGGACACAGAATATATTACCAATTTCCACGTTCAATTAATGTTTTTGAAACTGCATAACTAATATTGAGCAATGTTATTTATTTCTGCAAACCAAATGTACTTTTTATTTAATGTTCACAAGACAAATATAGGCTGCTCTCTATAGTTTTCACACTAGATAATAGATGTTTTAGTTACCAAGTTACCAATACTTATTATCATACTAGTTTTTCAGTTTATTTTTAGTTCTCCATTTTTATTTACAGTGTTGTTTTCTCATTCAAACCCAATGCATTTAAAAATATATATATATCATGTGATTAAAATCGAAAAGCTCTACCATGTTGTATAGTTTGTCATTCCCGTGTACTGTTTGTCATTCCCGTGTAACAGTTTGTCATTCCCGTGCCACCAACTTACAAAAAATATCAAAAAAAACTGAAACTAAGCATTTTTAAGCTGGTTCAACTTCACACAATAACTTTATAGCTTCGTTTGATCATATTTTATGAAATGATACTATCATATTTTCATATTATTTAATTAGACAAATGACTTGAAGTTTTTTCTCGGTATTCATACAATCACCCATATACACTTATTATATTCGAATATTCGAGATGAGAAGTTAGACGTAGATTATTTTTCATAATGAAAAAAAGTGATTATTCTATATTTCTGATGAGGTGCACTCCTTCTGCATGGAGATATTACCAAATAAATTTGATTTTGGTAGGTACCTGAGGAATTTTTCATAAAATAATTGTGATCAGTAATTTAGGTACAATGAAAATTATATTGTTTGAATCAACGAAAGATCTGTAAATTCAACAGAATCTGAGATCATATTTCCATGACTGAATATTTTCTTACTGCAACAATTTTTATTGTCACCTTCCAACTTGAAATTCATTTGATGTTATTAATTATTGATTCAAAATAATGGCAAGATTTGGTTGAATCATTAAAGACTATTTTGTTTTTTTAATACAATATCTACTCTGATGAACACATTCTCTTGATTGAAATGATCATGTAATTTTATTCGAGTGTTTTTTATTTTCGATCAGATCAGCTCCAAAATCTCAAATGAAACAACCTGTATATTTACCATGTCTATTTTCCTCCCGATGGAATGATTCTCACAAACTATCATACTCGTGGTCTTAAACGATTGATTCAAGGACTGCAGGTACTCAATATCTCTTGTCCCAAGACGATAACGACAAACGTCTGAAACGAGCAATTGCAAAATTATTCGAGTTTAGGGTCATTCTGTTTATGTGGCTATATTTGTTCTGATGAATATAACAATAATTATCATTCATATTGTATGGAGAAACGAAGTCAAAACACTTCAGGACAGAGGATATTGAAGTACCTGTGCAGCTTAGTCGACAATTAGTGTGATAATTTGTTGAAATCGTTTCATAGGGATGAATAATGACATGATAAATATGAAGGTTGCCCTATTTGAGATTTTGAATCTGATGTCACGTGGCCAAAAACAGAAAACTCATCGGGTGAGTGAAATTACAATTATCTACTGAGCTCGAGTTCCGAGATATTATACCTCTCTACAGGGCCGATACTAGGGTGTCGGCCGCCCGCGTGCATAAACCTAATGTGCCGCCCCTCTAGGGAATTTTTCATATTTTTTTACTATAATACCTGATGACTTCATAACTTCAACTACTTGTACAAGAATAAGAAGTAAAACACAGAAAAAAAAATGTAGACAAAATTTTCATGCGCCGCAGGCAGTTCAAGGTCAAATGCTTTCAGGTAATAACTCCATTTCAGTGCATACCGGGAGCGGCCAAGAAACTCAGACAAAATTTTCCTATGGCAAAAAATGCACCGCAGGCGAAATTTTTGTTGGGATTCAAATTCATCACATTAGTATAATATTACAGTTTATTGTAATTGATATAAAATAATCTGGAATCTGAAAATAAGAACAATAAGAAGAGCAAGTGAAAAGTATTTTAAATGGTGTCTGTAGTTTAACCAAGTGGATGTTCTCCAGATTTTTTGGGATTTTCTCTCATAGTCTCTTAGTAAGTAGTAGAAATGCATAAATAAGCTACCGCACAGTGATGGAACAAAACATCCTTAGGCGTCTGAAAAATATGCCCCTTGGTTATTGTTTCAAATAGAAATTTAAAATTTGGGAAGATAAGAATGTGTATAAAAAGTAGACATTAATTGACAATGGACCAACACACTATTTACTATCATTTTATTTATTCAAAATGCAGCATATTATTCATTCGACTTATGAGTTTCAAATCTCCTCCTCGATATTATAAAATCACCTGTTCCTCAAATAACAAACTGTAATCGAAATATTGAAAATATTGAGGGTGACATATTACTTGCGATTCATGGTCTGTTCATAGTATCTCATTTATATTTGATTTATATTTAATTTAATTCAACAGCTCTATTTCCCATAAGGAATGGACTAAATTAAATATATTTTGCATGCCGTTCTATGAACGCATCTTAGTGAATAGAATGCTTGAACTCTCGAGATGAGTTGAAATCAAATGAGAATTGAATATGAATAATTTCTATGAACTGACCATCAATCACTTGCTAAATTAACAACCAGAAAATCATTCAAACTACAGGGGTTTGAAAAAATCGCAATTTAGTTCATTTCAATCAGAATATCTCGTCTTTTTGTATAAGTTGTTGATTTGGAATAAATATATATTTGATTGATTTCGCAAAAATCATTCCAATCTGACGAAAAAAATTACCAAAATAATTCTGTTGGTGCAACAATCTTTTTTTCTGTGTACCCACACAATGAAATGTATGTGTTGAGAAATAATATATCTTAAGTTTAAAATGTCGAGAAATTGTTACCATTTTATATTTAATTGAGCCCACTTCACTGTATGTTACCTACAAGACTCACCCTGTCCATATATCAATTATTTATATTAATAAATACTGAATAAAAGTTTGTCTTCCGAAAATATTTCATTACTCACAACGGTATAAAGCCATCTCGCTATATTGATGACAATGCATATTTCATTTCAGAGACGAATAAGAGCACCATCAGCTAACCTAATAGTCAGCAGGATGGCATCTTAATGGTCGCGTAATTAAAGAAGTTCTAACAATGATTCCAACTTCATTTTCCCTATTAGAAACTTCAGGTGTACTCATTAATATTCATAATACTTGTTCGCTTCCTCGTCTTTCTTTTGCATAACAAATTTAATAATCATCGTGTTACTTCTTACGGAAACATTAACCTTTGAAATCAAAATTCTATCTTGAATGTATTTTCGTTACAGGGTGGACCAATGGAACTTTCCCACCCTAATTTGTAGGATTTGAAATTAATATTATGAGAAACACATCGATTTCAAATTCAAGGAGGAACTAATTTTCTTTTCTTCATGACCCCATATTGTTGCCTTATTATTCATCAATAACAAAATGACAGTATGTCAAAATAAATAGACTACTATTTTCTTAATGAAAATACCAAATGAGACTTACAAGTTCAGTAACGTTTAATTCATCTAACAAGCCGTTCAGAATACCATTAACATTCTTGCTGTAATAAAACTAGGGTCTCTTGATGTGAATTGACGTATTTGTCATCCTAATATGTTATGGACAGATCATAGTTCCTATCTCTTTTATTGATCTACTGACTTTGGTTTTGTGTATTGGCGTCCCTAACTTGACATTGCTAGGGTCCCTTGATGTAAATTGACCGTATCAGTTCTAACTCGTATATTTTGCTGATTTATTCACCAATTTTCCCCATTCGGTCACTCCACTCTCCATTTTCTAAGTTCATTTGCATTTGATAGTAAGCTGACAAATTCAAATTTGCCATCCAACTGATTGATACAGCCTAACGCAGCACATTTTTATTTCAAAAGTTATTATTTTATTAAAATTGAAAGTTAAAAGCTTCTATTTAACTTGCATTGTATGTTTGTATGGATGTATGTATGTTCGGGTGGAATCTTTGAACTCAATCTTGAAGTAGAAATCTTCAACCGATTGAGCTGAAATTACACGTTCAGTTTGGAAGACAATGCACGATAAGGTGTGTCACGTTATTCTAAATCCAGTATGGCGGACTATCCAAGATAGCGGAATAGCTATTTTTGATATACTTCCACAATATGGGTATATCAAATGAAAAATATTGTTGAGAGTAACTCGAAAAATGATGTGACGTCATTCTGAATCCATTATGGCGAACCATCTTTGATGGCGGAATGGTCATTTTTAATATACTTTTACAATATGGGTATCAAATGAAAAAGCTCGTTGAGAGTAAATCGAAAAATCCAGCTAGCGATAACTGAAAATTAAAAAATAAATTGGAAGTAAAAAAAAACCTTTTTATTAAAAAGCCTTTATTTAAACGCTCTAAAAAGAAGAAAATAAAATTTTTCTGAATAACTTTAACAATCAGCTTACACAATTTATATGATCATATATAAAAGCTTGTCGCGATTATCAATATTTCAATAAATTGTAATTTTAAAAATTTTATCTCAGCAGATTTAATATAATTAAATGAGAACTAGTTCATTCACACAAGTGAATCGCGCGACAAGCTTTTATGATCATATAATTTGTGTATGAATGAGGTTATAAGTTGATAGTTGAAATTATTGAAAAAAAAATATTTTCTTCTTTTTAGAGCGTTTAAATGTGAGCTTTTTATTGAAAAGTTTTTTTTACTTCTAATTTATTACTCCAATTTATCTCCAGATATTTCATGACAATTTGGTTTCATCAGATTTTATGAAATAATTCTCGTTTTCATCATGATTTTCATTTCCAGCCATAGGTAGTATGAATTTAAAGTTATATCATGGTACATCTGTCTGTTTTCATCTGGACTGAATAACACGAGTAATGCGAAGAGCGTCTAGGCTGATATAATGAATAGAAATAATTATCTTTCTGAAGGATGCCAAACTCGTTATACTATATTGATTGCTCTGTGCAACTTCATTTACCCTAGGCGAGGAGTATATCGGAGAACTCCTCTTCCTACTCAACATCGCAATGCACTTCATAGA